CAGTATATATTATTTCATTACATTACAGGTCATTTAGCTGACGCTTTTATCCAAAGCGACTTACATTTATTTATAACCCATGGCTTTCTACATTTTTGCCCAGGGAGTAATTAGGGGTTAGGTGTCTTGCTCAGGGACACTTCGACATGGGACATGGATCAGCCGGGGCTCGAACCGCCAACCTTGAACTTTAGAGCAAATGTTATTCAATTGTATAGAGCTTGTCCACCTGTTTTTAGTCTTTGTGCTAAGCTACGGTAACTATTATTCCCCAAAAACTATATTTTATTTAGCCGGGGTCAATCCCTGTGTTCATACAATTATCGTTTTTTTACAGAAACACTTTACCTTCTTTAGGCCGCCAGTGAGCATTTCCTCACCTACGTCCCTCATTCCGACTCAGCCGTCCGCCCCAGAGTGCCTTCTGGGGAAAAGCCTCTCATAACTTATTAATGGATCACTGACATTGTTGTGTACGTGTCACAAAGCAGAGGGCACTCATCATGTTGTAGACTGTCAATCATCATCATTTATTATTTTTCATGTGGAAGAAACGCGGACCCAACATGCACCAAGATCCGGGGAGCAGGTACCCATCTTTGTCACTCGCTATGGGCGGGTTGAAATGTCCAGAAACACGGCTGCATAGACTGCTGGAGATCACAGAAGGGAATCAGAGCTGAGGCCTCTTCCCGGTGGCAATGCAACCAAATCCACCACCAAACACATAGAGAAACCGCACCGATTTACATCTTTCAGATTAAACTATTTAAATCACACTGCTTTAAATCACACGGCTATTGACGTACACCTGGCAGGCGGGTGTGTAAACAGGAAGTACGTACAGACGACAGAGTATTATAGTACTAAAGTAAATAATTAAAAGGCTGCAGGTCTTGCTCTATCTTCACTCGATTATGGGTCAATACATTCCACACACGTCTCACTCGTTTCCTCGGTTGCGCTGTCGGTTCTCTCACTCGAAGCTCTGCTGACAGAAGTCCCTGCCAGACTGGAGAGCATTTCCGATTTTGTTCCTTGACAGTTTCTTTGTGAACTTGACAATAGTTTTGTGGAACAAAATCAGCATTACTGAATAGTGCTCTTTTTTCTGTTATCTGCCTCCTTGAAGCCACCAACCTTTACTCGCCATTAGGGTTGTGGTTTACGGATGTGTTTGTGGTGAACACAGTGGCAACCTATGCAAGGTGTTCCCTTGTGGATTACTGTGAACGTGTGTGTGTGTGTGTGTGTGTGTGTGTGTGTGTGTGTGTGTGTGTGTGTGTGTGTGTGTGTGTGTGAAATAGTGTGGATGCTCAGCAACACTTTTATTTCTGGTTGGCAGCAGCAGAGCCGGTGAAGAGAATTCAAAGGAACCTCTGGAGATGCTTAGCGGAGAGTAGCAGAGCGAGATGTATTTGAGTTGCCTGCCAGTACTTCACACTGCCTGGTCGGCCATGTTCACCCCTTCAGTGTGTGCGCCGATTCCTCACCCAGTTACTGCTTCAGACACCTTACTATCTCCTTTGAACGCTAATGAAAACATAGATATATTCTGACATCCTCATCGTGGTACTGAAGGTCTTTACTGAACACAACTTCAGGCAAGACAATTAATGGAAATTATACTGAGTAATAGAGGAGCCATATCTTCTAATATCATACTTCAGGAAACAAGTGTCTTGCAAAAAACCTTGATGTCTGCATGGTGAAAAGACTCTTTCTGTGAAGCAAGCAGAGGGAGAAAAACTGACTTTGTCGTCTGCTTAGCAACAGCATCAGTAGTAAGATAATCTTCTCCAAACACAGGTATTACTGTGACTCAGTGGCCTGATCTTGCTGCAAAATGAGTCTAGTTGCCAGATTATATATAAAGAAATGTAGAAACATCTTTCAGTATTGGTACAACCTTTGCCCACTGGCCTTCCCTCCCTGCAGAGTCCAAATTACTGTACGTTGCACACGGCCATTTAACATGGAAAAAGGCAATATAAAACATTCATTAATAACCATTCTCAGTGGTTAGCTACACGAAGACTCTCAATCATCTATGATAGATGTTACAGCACAATGTGCAGCAACATTTATTACAGAAATGTTAAAAATGCTTTCAATACTGAGAGAAATGAATGGTTTGTTTGCTGAACACGCCCCCCAGCTGTGACTGGAAACCATAAAACACAAATGAAAATAGTATAGAATGAGTGAGAATGAGTTAGTGTTCCATAATGTTAACCTCGATGGCTATTATGCCCACATGGCTGAAGGTTCGTAAGCTGGACCCTCCCCGATCACATGATCATCATCTTTACTGGTCAAAAACAAATAGATTTCTACCAAGACATTCATCATACTGACGTACAAATGGAGGCATTACAACCTTGAACATCAGCTGATCGTGGTTGTTGCAGGATCAGCACCTGGACACCAGTTCATAGTTTATATGTATGCTCGTATGTATAAAAAGCTCAATCGTTCTAGCAATAAGAATCGTGGCAGTAAGGATGAATAAAACGATTTGAGCTTCCACGCTGATGAACAATAACGTTCCGTAAACACGCGCTGCACAGTCCAGCTGCGTCAGAGCCCCAAAATGCACATCGATGAGCTGTTTCTGCTGCACGTTGCACAGAGCGAGAAGTTCATTGCTTATATGTTCAAAACTATTTGACAAATCCACCGTATCTGAGAGGAAGTACTGCACTTTGCATTGGAACCGATTCGTCTCGGCTGTCGGTGTTTCCGTCGTTCCCCAAATCCCTCTGTGAGTAATCCCAACAATAGTGCAGGGGGCAATGAGCCGTCATAGCTGCTCTTTGTCAGGCTTCCAAACACACACATTCATGCTGTCGTCTTCACAAGCAGCAAAAGCAAAACAAAATCCACTAACCGTCCATTACAGGTAACAGCCACTGGCCTTCAATGCTGCTGGGTTCTCCATCTCAGTGCAGGTCGAGAAACCATCTCTGTCTCTCTCTCTCTCTCTCACGCACACACACATGCACACACACACACACACATGCGCACACATGCCAATACAGAGCAAGCGAGGGAATTGACTGCGCCGAGGGCTAATGTGCTGATGTGTGTGGGAGGCTCATGGTGGAGAGGCCTGATGGAGAGCTGTTACAGAGGATCACAACCAAAAGGGAGCAGCGGTTCACAGACAGGCTCCCATGGGGGAGGAAGGGGGGCGAGGGGGGGGGGGGGGGTGTAGTTCAGTTCAGCAACCGCCGTCCGTCCGCGCTGGTGGAAAGCGGAGCTGGCAAAACCGCGGCTGTGAAAAGTGAGTCGGAGTAGCCGTTTGGCAGATCTGATAACGTATCATGTATGTTCTCATCTGGCTGAGTTAAGTAGCTTATGGGATCGCGCGCGTTAAAGCTGCAGCTGCCAAACGACACGTGCTAATTACTGGTTTCGCATGCACTGGTTCCTTTCGCCTCACGGGACTTCTTTGCTTCCGACGACATCTAATACAACTTGAAAAAATGTAATCTCACCACAATAAGACCTTTTGAAACTCGATTTACTCATTGTAATGGATTGGAAGGGAAGCGGATGTCATGGAGCAGCTTCTCCCATCTGAACCCTGGGTGTGTGGTACGGGGGCCCCAGCTGAAAAAAAGGCTGTCGGTTGACTCGTTAGAAGCCGATGAGCTTCCGGACTGCTGGTTTGAATTACAGGCCGTCTGATTACATCACCAGTTTGATGCTTTTCTCCACCACGGTTGCGATTGGGTGAAGGGCCTGGGACCTTCGCTAGCCTCCAAGTCATCCGCCTGATTGACAATGTAGAGCAGGCTTTCCACAAGGGACGAAGTGGTGTGTGTCCCTGGTGCATTAGTGTGTGCAGACAACAACCTCTGGTTTGATCTGCACAATACGGCTCCACGGTGTGCATGCAGCTGATGAAGAATCCCCCCGTTGTGCTGTGACATCCCTGCGACCGCCTGGATGAATCCTGCACTTCGCTAAAATGTGCTGGGGAATGTTCGCCGCGGCGACGGTAAAACAACCGTGGCCACTTTGCAACACCTCGATAAAGAGGGAGAGCACTGTTCGGCTCGTCCCCAAACGCTGCCGCTCAGCCTGAAATATTCACCGCTGAAGCTCAGGCTGGAGAGACGCTCGCCTCGATAAACCACGAGTCGGATTGCAAATACACAGGCAGCCAACACAGACGGCAGGAAGTGCACTTAGTGAAAACCTCTAACCAGGTCAACTTTATATTCAAAATATGGCCTCGGATAATATAACAAAAAATGTTATAATATCTACTATTTTTTTGTTGTTGTTACTATTGTGTCCGTCTTTTGTTTATATGTTCAAGTGTGTGTCTGTGTATGCATGTACTGTATATGTATGTTTGCAGTTAAATTGACTCTGTGAGATTCAATTTTAACTCTAAGCTGGTGTTCATATTGTCCCAATCTTGTCAGTGTTAAATCAACACTCAACGAAGTTTAACAATTTAACTCAGAATAAGTGTCAAAAATATATCTGCTCGGTGTTAAATACACTCTACGTAGAATTAAACCCAACAGCAAGTGTGACACTGGTGTACAGTTAAATTTCAAACCTATCAAAGAGTTAATCTAACTCTACTGTGGCGCAAATAAGTCTGCTCAGTGTTAAATACAAAATAAATATACTCTATGTAGAGTTAAAAACCCAAGTCCTTGACACTGGATAATGACTCCAGCTCTTTCGTACAATTGACTCACTTGCCTGTAACAGCTGAATCATCTTTATGCAGTGTGTGATTTCAACTCTGCACTTCAACACGTTTGCCTAACATTACTAAAATTAACTCATTAATTAACTTAACTAAGAATTGTGCTGTGCATGTGTGTATATCTGTACGTATATTCATGGTGATGGATGGTTGATTTTTAATGTCTGAAAATCCATTTGATCACAAAATGCTTCTTCGTCTTCTAATGTTGTTTTGTGCACAGACAAACTGACAACAAATAAATAAACATCGCTCTGTGTCTTACCTCCACAAACAGGAAGCAGGGGACGATGGAGCTGCTGCTCTTCACAGCCGGCTTCTCCTCCCCAGCCATCCCTCTCTCCGTCCGTCGGAACGTCCCTCCGTCCAGCTTTCGGTCTCCCGTATCCTGAAGGAAAGAGGGTTTGGGTCCATGAGAAATCCAGTCAGGACTAAGCAGCTTCCCCTGATGTCTTTTCTTTGTTTGTTCTTTCATCCAGCACTGGGATGCATTTGCATTGTTTACCTACATATGCTGCAGCCATGAATATTCCGTAGTGCTATGAACTGTGTGTATCCTACAGATTATTGTCGTAGTCTTTGAAAGTCCTTTTCTTATTTGGGGTTTGATGCATCGTGTATCAATGGGAGCACAAAACTAAGTAAATCCGTGAATGATCACGGTACATCACAGTGTTATTAGAACAATTTGCATAGCCGGGCGGTGATAATACAGAAATAATATCGCCAATAAAGTCGGTAGCTGGCGAGCTAACGGGATGTGTGCTAACAAGTTGGAACATTCTAGAGGTAGCTACGAATGACTGACAGGAGTCCATGCAGCAATTCAACCTTTCCGATGTGTATATTCGTGTTTTTTGATTAATAACTGAACATATTAGACTGCAAATGCAAGAACAGCTAATTTAACAGCTTTTGACTTTGTATTTGGCTAAATAACCGTGTTGCCGTGATAATGGCCTGAAATAAACATTAGAAATTGCGACAGATTATCAGCAGATACATGTATTGGTAGTTTAGCTTCTAAACTCACGCTGAAATCCCAAATCCGGAATAATAAAATAATGTTTGCTCTCATCACACTCCCAACTGGAAGAGGACACATTTTGGTTGGTAGATTTTGCTGGAACTGGACCGAGCCAGCCATTTCCCCTTGGTTACAGTCTTATGCTACGCTATGCTAAACACCTGCTGGCTGGGGTTTAATATTAAAAAGGACATGATTTTTACATCCAACTCTTAAGCAAATGAGGACGTATCCCAGAAATCTGAAGCTAAACCGCTTTAAGCTGCCTTATATCCAATTAGGAAAAAGACAACGGTAGCTTGTTGCATTTCCACTTTTAGGACAAGGGCCTCGACATTGTGCTGCAGAGGACAAAGGGATGATTCCAGCAATGCAGTCCCACTTCGCAGAGTCTGCTGAAGAGTTCAGTGTTGGCTTTCAGGCTTTGATCCATCACACTGCTGAACAGAACCTTAACTTCAGAGGACGTACGCGGCCCCTGAATCCTCTGATGTCTAGTCGGACAGGTTCCACTCTGAGGCTGTTTTTGGACAACTGCTCCATATACGGCATATCCATGATAAAACGTGTAATACCTCTGAAACTTTGTCTATCTGGACAATATCTTTTTCTGTCAGGATAAAGGGCAATGTTACTGTTGAAGAAATAAATTGATATAACACAAAAAATATACAGGCCTAAAGCGTAAAATGATGCTCTTAAGAGTGACGATTGGCTTAGAAACTCGCCCATACCCCCTAAAACCTGAAGCCACTGAAATTGCTTGTGATGCACATACAACGTCTCTCTTCAAATGTCTCTCTTCAAAATGAAAACGTCAAAGGGGCATTTATGATTCAGATGCTAGTGGTGCTTGGCGGGTTATTTTGCTCTGCTTCTGCGCAGGTTTTTCTGAGAAAAATGAATACGGATATCACTCGATTTACTGTCTTGTTCTCTTTGTTTGCTTCTGTCTCGGATGAAAAAAGTTCTATACTACGGCACCGCCGCGTACAAATCTTCTTGACTAATTTGGAAAACTTACTAACTTGCTGGAGTTGTGTAGCAGAGAACGAATAAGTGGAGACTGTAATGTTTCACACGGAGTGAAGCAGTCATACATTGCCTCATGATGAGTACAGGATATTTCGGTTCTGGCTCGGCTTCGGACCAAGTTTGGAGACGCGCGGGCAGAAAAGGACGCACAACAATACAGTATCATTGTCAGGTGGACGTCTCCTCTGCTGGCCGCTGACGTGTTGAGTGCTGGAGAGCTTCCTTCCTCCTCTTTCCTGCTCTGAAAGAATACGCCTGAGGGATGAATAAGGCATTGAGCCGAGCTTTTAGCAGCCATCTGAGCAACGTGTGTGTGCGACAGGGAAAAGTAGCTGAAGAAGCCTGCGAGTAACGGGAACCAAGGAGGAGAAAGAACAAGGTTGTGGGGGGGGGGGATCACTGAGGGTTCCACTCCCTCGATGACAGGCGGCACATAGGAGGCTCTTTCTCCCACGGTTTGGGCCGCCCGCCTGGACGTGAGATCCGCCCGGAGACAGCGTTGTGGGAGAAATCAGAGATGTTGGGGAGGCTTCCTTGGCGATTAATAACTCATTAGTGGGACAATTTCGCCCCTGCGTGAGGAATGGGAATCGCAGAGCTCGTTTCTTCTTGCAAAGGGTGCGTCGCGGAGCCTCCTCAGCTGTCCCACGCACTTTCGGAGCGGAGGGAATGTTTCTCAGAAGTTTGCAGCTTAATTAGTGTGAAGGACTCTGGCGGATGCTCGGCAGGCAGAACCGTAGAACGTGAGCTCGACGCTGACGCACGTCTTAGAGCGACTGTCCTCGAGGGAAGTCGGAAACAGTGAAAACGGTGACGGGCCGGCTACTTCAAAAATGCACGGAATCACTAATTAAAGCAGCTCGACAATACGTATGCTCCTCAGTAGTTGAAGCTGCTGTGATCAATTTTTTATATGAGAATGAATCAAATGAAAATGTGAAAACCACATGACGTCCTAGTGGTGAAGCTGCAGAGAATTACCACCCGAATCTGCAGCTCTCCTCAGCTTTACAAGAGATCCATAGCGCCAATTGTCTGGCCCACAACTTTAATATCAGAAAGATTGTCTTTCCTTAATGGCCTTTTCAAGCTGAATGACTTATTTTGAACAGGATCTATGGGTTCAATACGTCGAGCAGATCTGTGGATACAATCAGCTTAGCGATTGATCTTTGGTTGCGGACAACTTGAAGTTAGCTGCTAAGTAGCCAGATATTTCCCTACGGAGGTGGTGGAGACCTGAACCGGAGCTGGAAGAGAGCATTGGGTTCACATTCATCAGGTGGACACAAACCGTCTCCAAATGAATGCTGAGGTGTGTCAATAAGCAGCAGTAAACGCGTTGACTACATCGACTCTTAAAAGGTGGTGGTCAATATCGTGGTTGCAGCTCGTTGCCTCGGCCGCCGCACGGTGAACGAACATAACTCACCAAACATTGTGATTTAACCGTAGCCTGGTGGACGTAGTCATCATGACGCCATTGGTTTGTGAACTGCAGTTTTTTAAACCTTGAGTTTGGCGAAATTTTGCTGTCTCCATCTTGGATTACGCTCGCCGCCGCGCTGTAGATATTTACAAACAAAAACGACAGCCGTATCTTGAATGCGGGGGAGTGACGTTGGGATAACATGCACATTGCTGCTTTATTAATAGGCACTATATTGCTGCCAAACTCATCTGTGTGTGTTCATGTCCGTTTGTGTGTTTGAGTAATTGTGTCGAGGCAGCTGCAGGGTTTGATGTGGTAAGCGGGGTCCAAGTGACGAGGGGATCTAATCTAATAACACATCTATTGATCAGAGACTATCAAACAAACCCGTCATCACCGTCAGAAATGAGCGAGAGAACTGAAATCACAATCAAAATGGTGGAGATGAGAGGAGCTGCTGGGGAGAAAGTTGAATTAGCTCCGTCAACCCCAACACATACACACACACCCCTCATACACACACACACACACACACAGACACACACACATACATTGTGGAGCGCAGGACATTTGAATAGTCTGCTGCAGCTCTGAGAACTCCAGTCAAAGGGGGAATCTGGAGACCCGGGCAGCCATATGTCCTCTCTCCTGCCTCTGCAGTCCAACCACCCAGCCCCAGGACTCCCAGCGCGCGCACACACACACACACACACACACACACACACACACACACACACACAAAGACTAATTGGGCACAACAATCTGGATCATGCAGTTATTTTCTGCCTTGTCGAGCGACCCTCTTTGCAAACCCTTCTCATGCACACTGCCACACTTGTGCAGCAGCAATGCAGCGTTAAAACACCAACTGTCAGTCAGCCATTCTTCTTCTTCCCAGACGTAAATATTCAAGACTTTGACTGCAGAGCATTTCTAAATATGGGGTCAGTGATGGAAATAGTTTTATTTATCTAAGATACAATTCTACCTCAACATACCTGCAGCTCAACCCTGTCATTATCGATGTCCTCACGCCTCTCATGTTGCATGGAATGTTTTTGGTTTTGTGTGTACTTGTATGAGTGTGTGTGTGTGTGTGTGTGTGTGTGTGTGTGTGTGTTCAGTGTGGCTATTTTTTGCCTTGACATTGTCATACTCATTTCCTTCAACTCTGATCTCATCCTTTAACCCAACTGCACGCATGTAAACTAACGCGCGAGTACAGAAGGTTAGCAAGCACACACACACACACACACACACAACACACCTCACTTGGAGCTGAGTCACGAACAGCAGACATCCCACTCCTACTACACGTCTTTCCCTGCCCTGTATTGATTGAAGTCAAGAAGGAGACGGAAATCCATCATTGGATCCACCCTGAATAATTAGGGGTTCTGTTTGGGGGAATACCCCCCCCCCCCTCCTCCCCCTCCTCCCCCTCTCCTCCACCCTCACACACACACCGGCAGTCACACTTGAAGACCCGGGGAGGAAGCACACAACGGATCCACTTACAAGCAGAAAATGCCCAAAAAAACATGTGACTTCCACCACACGGCTGTTGTGTTGTGGGGCCCCAGGCAGTTCAAATCACCCCGGCATGCAGGAGAGGAGCGGAAACCTGTCATCCCTCCCTCCCTCCCTCCCCCCACCCTCACACCCTCCCCTTGGTACCTCGTCGCCGAGCTGACAGTCGCCGCGGCACCAGACTCCTATGCGGTGGCCATGTCAGATCAGATGATGGCAAAGTGGCGTTGAAAAAATCTCCTTCCAAGCGGCCGCCTGTCTCCTCGCTCTCTCCTCCCTCTGCTCTCCCCCCCCCTGCTCTCCCCTCCTGGTCCACGGTGGAGCGCGAGAGGCAGCGGCAGCCTCCAAGTCTTCCACAGGCTCACCTCCCCGCCGACGCTAATACAGCAAGTGGCCGAAGTCACCTCGTGTGCGGCGTTAACTCCAATGAGGAGGCTCGGGGGGAGAGCAAGAACATGTGTGTGAGAAAGCAAGAGGGAGGGAGAGAGGGAGAGAGAGAGAGAGAGAGAGGAACAGAGAGAAAGGGAGGGAGGGCCCTCATCATGTGTGTCAGCTCATTTGTATTCAAAGCCGGTTCTCCCTCTCCATCCCTCCCCATCTCTCAACCTCTGTCCTTCTCTCCCCTTATCTCCCTCCCTCCCTCCCTCCTTCCCTCCAGCTCCTCCTGAATGGACATAGAGGACGTGAACCTGATCCAAACATTAGAGGACAGAAGGAGGGAAGCTGCAGACTATAGGGGGGGACTGCATGTGTGTCTGTGTGTGTGTGTGTGTGTGTGTGTGTGAGGCTGCTTGGCTCGACCAGCTCTTGCACACTCTTTGGATTTGGGCAGCGCGTCTGATCGGCTGATAAGCGAAGCAACAGCGACCGTAGAGAGGACCAGAGATGAGAAGGTGCCGGGGTACTTCTGTGGGGTTCAGAAGTAAAATGGGAAACTACTGGATCATACCATTATGTTTTGGTACATACTGTACATACTAATGTTTCCCTCAGGGTGAAGTAATTCATCCCTCACGCTTTGGTCAATGGCTCCAATCCTTTGTTCCCGTCACATGGAAGAGTAGCTGAGTTGTCACGATGTCACACCAAAATCCATCTTTGTCCAGCTTTAAGTGACGTGTTTGGTTTGGTGAGCCGGTGCACGGACCAATCAGTGTACTGGAAGCTAAGGACTAAAGTCTCTCACAACGTTGTTGTTTTTTTGGTACCCAACCCTACTTACAACAATGGCAGCTGTTAAAGAGGTTAGCGTAGATGCTGCAATCAGTTCCATCAGAACCGGAGAGTCTTTCCTGAAAGAAGACCGGCACCGATGGCTTTTCTCGATGGAAAAGATGTGCATCGTTTCGGCTTCTCTCACCACTGGATTTGGCAAGAGATTGATTGACAGATGGCTCAATGAATCAGCTTCCAAGTACTTTATTTCATAAAGTCCCCAATGACTCTGTGTAACAAACCATCTGGCTGGTTTTGCTCTGATATGTGACCAAATACCTGGACAACGAATGACACTCCCATCAGCCCCAGCAGTACTTGGCTTAGTAGCTAATTGTCAGATTTTAGCGTGCTAACCAACGGAATTTAAATTGTGCGTTATCTTAAATGAGCAAAAAGACAAAATAATAAAGCAAGAAGTCAAATCCAATCTCATTCTGCCACACGTTTTGGTCCGAGGCGACTTATTGGATCCACCAAATCACCCTTACGCTGTTTTATCTTCTTTCATATGGCACACATTAACAGCAGGGGGTCGACTCCTTCGGCTCAGAGACACAGAGAGGAGCTAAATGAATGAACCTCGGGCATTTTCTATTGGCCGGGCTGGTGGCTTCTGCCTCGGCCACTCCTCATTAATATACCATTGCTCCAGCAGCATTAATAGCCACTAGACCGTTTTATTTGCACACGGCTCATGATCTATATTTAATGATTATACATCAAGAAAGAGGCTAGAAAAGTCAAAGAGGTCTCAAATCTAAAAAGAATTGATATAAAACCAACTAGTAGGATCGCTTATTCGCGACTATTATCCTCATATTTTTTTCCGGGTGCTGTCCCCTAAATAACATGTCATTGAATTTCAACGCCCTTCTTCGTCCCCTCCCCTCACAAATCCCCCTCCTCCAGTGCTGAGTGAGCTGTCTTGCGGGTCTCGGAGGGATTGTCGAGGCGGTGGATGAGATATGGCGCAAGCATCGTGGAGATGAGGAATCCGCCTGTTATGGAGCCGTAATGGTTTACGGCACACTGGACGCCGGTCCCACGGGTCTACTGTCCTCCCGCAGCGTACTCCTCTCCGGGGTCTGTCCAACCTCTCCCTGGCTGCTTACGTTGTGGAACGTGGTATTGTCTATTATCTGTGAAAAATATTTTTATAATAATTCGCATCAGCATTTGCATGCGTTTCGATGGCACTTCTAGCGAGAAGTATGCGTTATATTTCCATAATCTTCTATCAGAGAACGTAGAAGACCTTCCGTTTATTAGTTTCTAGTGACGTAGTTGCATGGTAATGTAAATGAATGGGCCGAAATAAAACATAGTATTGTCACGATTTCGGGGAGAAAGCGTGAGAATACCACGTTCCACAACGTAGCTATTACACGTTTTGCTGTGAGACTGCGTTGCTATACACATAATTACGAAAGAACGGCGGTTGAATTTGCTGAGCTTTGCAATATGTGTGCGCTCGCTGTATCCGCGGAAGCAATTCAGACCCTCGGTGAGGTCGGACAAATTCACTCTGAATGAAATGCTGTAAATGAAGCGGTAAGAGTCCATCAGCTCGTCACATTCCAAATGGTTTCAATGTAACAGTGTTTGTTTATAACCATTCATGCGTTACTAGTTGCTACTATTTATTACCTGGGAACAAAGGGTCGGCTAGCTGTAGCCCAGTTTCCACTCATTAGGCTATGCTAAGCTAACCAGCTGCTGGCTTTAGCTTCATAGTTACATGAGCGTGTTATTAATCCAACAAGAACTAAAAAAAAAAAAAAACAGACGGCCTCGGGGCTCATGAGCACATTGATGTCCAATTTCAAGCCTGTCACTTAAACACACCGTACGCATCTACACACATTTACCCCCCTCATTACCACCACACATCATCAGCACACGGCTCTCCAAACACAACCCCCCCAGGCACAAACACACACACACTATCACACAATCACACATGGCCTTGTATCATTACGCCAGGAGCTCCAGCTGTGGACTCCAGGGGAAATTCATTATTCAGCTCGACAACAAAGGGCCACATTCCTACGCTGTGCTTCCTCTTTTGTCTGCGGCCCCACTTCATCCAGCAGTAATTGTGCCGGTTAAATCTGAACATTAGGCAAACCCGGGGTCAAAAATCTTCAGAATGAAAGTATGAATGAAAATGGAAAGTTTGACATAAAGGGGCAATATCTGTCTCAGAATATGATAAATAAAAAATTGTAATTCCATATTGAGAAACAACGTAGTAATAATAAACACCTAAATCTGTTGTTGTTTTCTTTCAAATTAGTTTGGAGGCGAACTTGAAAATTACAGAACGGTCAAGCGCATTAAAAACAATGTTTTCGCCTACATTCATTGTATGCCAATAAATCCCCCTAAATCCGCCTACACATAAAATACCTCAGGTGGCTTCTTCAGGAGTTTAGTTCAACGCAACTAGTCGTCTTCAGGGATTTGTTTCATAATATAGTCTCCGGCCTGCGTCTGATCATGGAGCTTCATCCCCGTCACAAGCAACGTCTTGCAGTCGTGGGCAAACGCCATTACTGTCAGAGCATGAACACATTGTGTGGGCACGGTTCTGCAAGGATCACGGGGGAGGGAGGCTACAGCAGGTGTTCCCCTCTTTCATTGTGATTGGAAAATAAATTCCATCTCATGTGATTTGATTTGGCTATTATCACCGCCCCCCCCCCTCAGCACGGCATGCAGTGAAGTGGTCCCTTGCTCAAACCCCTCGAGCACGGGGGAGGGGGGGCCAGGGGAGTAAATGATGCGTGTTATTGTGAACACACCAGATGGGGTCCCGAAGCGGGGGAACATGGAGGTATGGAGCAGCAATCCTTCCATAATGAGACGTAAATGGCGACGACCTGACATTGTGACAGGGAGGCTCGTTCCGCTGGCGCAAAAATATTTTAAGTGACAGGTAGCAAACCTGCATGAAAAATGAAAACCGCATTTGTCAAATTAGGCCAGGGACACGCCTCTTTCTGGACGAGGACGTTATATTTGTAACCCACCAGCGAGCGGTCTAAAAATGCTGCTACATTTGAATCCTCCATAGTCAATATGAGACTCACCATCGTGTTTAGGGTTTCCACCTTGACATCGTCGCATGCTTTGATGTTAAAAAAGCAAATCATTTTTTTTTTCCTTCTGGCTGAAACATTCCGTTTCAGCGCCCGTCTTTAAGGTTTAGGATAACCACCCCAGACCAATCTTTAGGTTCAGAACTATTTCATTATGTCAACTGTTGCCATTGAACAACGGGTTCATAAGGTTAGTGGGAGACAGACTTTGATTGGTCTAGAGGGGGCTGGGAAGTTTGTCTCTGCTTGTTCGAAGAGCCAGAGTTCTGAGCTCCAGAGAGCAGGCGGAGAAGTTACGTAACGCCAACGTTAGTTAACCCTCGCACTGTTTGCTAACAGCTTGATAGCGGAACACGTTCACGCCACGTAGCCTCCCTGAGAGAAGCTACGTTAGTAAATGAAAGGAGTCTACGGTGCACCACACACACACACACACACACACACGCACACACATACACGTTTCAAGCCAAGTCACTCCCATCATCTTTAGGTAGCACTGGGATCCAAAAGTACTCCTAAAAAGCCCCGGTGTGACGCTGTAAACAGCAACACAGCGGTAACATTAAATATTTTGTATTTATTGGCTGAAAACGTCCTCGCCTGCATGTTACGGAAGGTAAGACGCTTCATATTGTTGCTGATCCCAGCTTATTACTTTGCAACTTTCTTGAAAACCGAAGCCCTTCCAAATAACCCCCAAAAACGACTCACTATTCCGACCTTTTGGTCTGTTTATTCCAAATGACGCGTGCCTGCAGGGAAATGCTATGCTATGCATGTGTATGGAGTCCGTGAAAATGTATTAATGTCCTCATACAGATAATAGACAGGTGGTGGACCGAAATTAAACCAGCCGTGTTGTATCACCAGTGGAGACTCCACTAAGGACTGAGTCCTCAGTCCCTGGCAGCAGACAGAGTTTATATGACCGACTGGTGAGGAGACAAACGGCCGTGGGACACCCGGGGCCCAGGGACAGTGTTTAGTGCGGTTTAGTGCTGGCTGCGGTCCTGGCACACCAGCAGCTGTCAGCTTCACTTTCATCATCCTCATCACCGCCTCCGAGACGCTCTCGACCATTTAGCTTTTAAAAAATGGGCTGAGTGTAGTGGAGACCCAAGAAGCAGATTATTCTAAACACAGACACAATGTCTGCCTCTCAAGTTTAGTGTGATAGCTCATCTATGATGTGGTGGTATTGCAGTGACGCCGTATCTACCTGGGACCCAATGAGATGCTTAAAGGTCATTTTATAAGCAATCTGTAGAA